TCTCTTTCTTCCTCTTCTTCCTCCTCCCCTTCTCTTTCTTCCTCTTCCTCCTCCCCCTTCTCTTTCTTCCTCTTGCTCCTCTCCTTCTCCCTCTGTCGGCCGGGCCACACACGGGTGGGCCAGGGCGGTGGAGCTCGGGGCGGGGGGGCTCTGGGCGTTTTCGGGGCCGGGCCAAGTCCATTAATCCCTAGGGAGCTCGGAGCCAGGCGTGGCGAAGCCTCAGGGGGACTGGGGACCCGAGGCGCTGGGCGCTGGGTGGCCCCAGGGAGGCAAGGGGCACCGGGCCGAGCAGAGCGAGGCCAGACGGGCTTGGGGACGGGGGTGCAGGCGGGTCTTGCAGACCTCACGGAGGGGGACGACGACGGGCAGGCGGGCGTGACTGTGGAAATACGGGGGCGGGTGGGAGAGGAGTGAGGAGGGGGTGGGGTTGGGCCGGCCCGTTCTGGGCCTTTAGGTTAAAAGATTTGCCCAGTGCTGGGCCCAGCGGCACTCGGCAAAGGGTTTTTATTTTATTTTTTTTAAATTCTTTGCCGAGTGTCCTGTGACCTGGCACTCGGCAAAGGCTTCTTTGCCGAGTGCCACCTTGGCACTTGGCAAATTAATTTTTTTTTGTTTTTGTCGTCCCATTTTTTTCTGGGGCCTTGCTACACTAATTAAAACTTCATTTCAAAATTTGGGATAATTTGAGTTTTTTTACTATATTTCCTTAATTATTTTTGTTTTATTGAATTTTTCCGACTATTTCAAATTTGAACTGTATGTACATGAAATAATGGAATTTGGTCATTTAAAAAATGGTATTCATGATGTTTGGCGTATGTTGGGACCGCATCCAGGAACTCGCATGAAATTATGAGCATCTTGTTGTCGTAACATGACGATGTACTTGCGGGAAAAGTGTATTTAAATTATATAAAATCCAAACGAAGTCCGAAAATCACGAAACTTGTCGAGGTGTCTTGTTATCGCATGTGGAGGCCGTGGTAAAAAAATTGAGAAAGTTTGGAGCAAGTTGTGACGTCGGATGCCTAAAAATTGAGATGTCTGGCTTTTAGGCATCCGACGTCCCAACTTGCTCCAAACTTTCTCAATTTTTTTACCACGGCCTCCACATGCGATAACAAGACATCTCGACAAGTTTCGTGATTTTCGGACTTCGTTTGTATTTTATATAATTTAAATACACTTTTTCCGCAAGTACATCGTCATTTTACGACAACAAGATGCTCGTAATTTCGTGCGAGTTCCTGGATATAGCCTCAACATACGCCAAACATCATGAATACCATTTTTTGAATGACCAAATTCCATTATTTCATGTACATGCAGTTCAAATTTGAAATAGTCGAAAAATTCAACGAAACAAAAATAATTAAGGAAATATAGTAAAAAAAACTCAAAATTGTCCCAAATTTTAAAATGGAGTTTTAATTACTGTAGCAAGGCCCCAGAAAAAAGGGGCGAAAAAACAAAAAAAAAAAAATTTGCCGAGTGCCAACCTTGGCACTTGGCAAAGAAGCCTTTACCGAGTGCCAAGTCGCAGGGCACTCGGCAAAGAATTTTTTAAAAAATAAATAAAAAACCTTTTGCCGAGTGCCTAACGGCAGGGCACTCGGCAAAGGCTAACGGCAGGTGGCCGCCATCACGCCGGCCACCTTTGCCGACGGCCAAATTTTGCCGAGTGCCCGGCACTTGGCAAAGATTTTTTTGTCGACGGTCAATCTTTGCCGAGCGCCCGGCACTCGGCAAAGGAAAATTTTTGCCGACGACTAAAGTTTGCCGAGTGTCCGGCTCTCGGCAAAGGCAGATTTGCCGACGGCCTATCTTTGCCGAGTGCCTCTGGGTCCAGCTCTCGACAAAGATTGCCTTTGCCGAGTGCCCGACAGAAAGCACTCGGCAAAGCTTTTTGCACTCGGCAAATCAGCCGTGTCCGATAGTGTATTCAGATGTACGTTGCAAGTGTTTCAATTATTGACGTATGTTGCAAGTGTTTCATCTGGATGTTGTAAAAGTAGATCTGGTGTTGCACATGTTGTAATGGGACCCACCTGCTGCAGCTGCTGGGCCCGAGTGCATGCACGTGGAAGCGTAGGGGCATGAGCGGCAGGCGCAGATCGAGAAGCGCATCCCGCGTGGGCGCGCACAGGTAGGGAAACAGAGTGGCACGGGCCCCCACGTGAAGCAGGCGCATGCGTGCGAGTGGGCGTTGCAGCATGCGTACGCGGGGGCATGGGCAGGCGCAGTAGGCGCGGGCGTCCGGACACGGGCGTCTGGACGAACGTCTAGGCGAGGGTTTAAGATTAACGTAGCTCCTGAATTGCTGCAAGATTAATATGAATAGTGTCTGCAGAAAGTCTCTGGAATTGTTTGTTTTGAATTCATAATTCTGAATCTGGAGTCTTTCGACTCAAGACTACTACTAGTTTCTGATGCATTAAATTTGATTTTTTTTTCTTTGCAAATATTATGAAATATGATTTGAACCAGAATATTGTGCATAGCAATACGACCATACCTAAATCTGTACTTGGTATTCCTAAAAAACAATCTGTATTTGGTGGCTCAGCCCGAGAATCGATCAAACTGAAGGTTTACCCGCAGACAGTTTTCATTGCCTGGCTTTATAGAAAGCTTATCAAACCAAAAGATCCGATGCTGGGAGTACCAGCTTACAATAAAGTTCACGTCACTACTGAGAGTGACTGCCCAGAAAGAAAAACCAAAGACCTCTACGAACGTTTAAACCTGACATCAAACAACCAAACACCAACGTTAAGCGAACGAAAACGCTTACAACCACACCAACGTTACATGGTAGCAGCATTAGCTGTCACAAGATTAATCATCTCCTCTGCCATGGGCTTCAGCTTTGGCTTCAACAGGGGCTCCATGTCTTCATTTACCAGCATACAGTTACCCATTAAAATGCTATAATATGCCAGAAATTAGTTTTTTTAATTTTTAACCTTTTTCCAAACAATTTTTAAAATTAACACCGTTGCTTTTTTTATTTCCGAATCTAACCTGTTTGGCCACGTCTAAGTCCCTGACACGCCCAAAACATGCTGCTGCGCCACATGCATCGGCGCGACACGATCTACCATGGTGGACAATGATTTCCTTGTGAAAAAGCTTGCCACGCCACTCCTGTTGACATGGAAACACTGTAGCGCCACGCCATCCAGACGGGTGCGGCAAGCGCAACCTTAGAAAAATCGTATTTTTTTCATACAATCTCAGATGAAGATGATGTTTATATGAAAATTGGATCTCTCGACGAGACCTACAACTTTCTAGTTATGAGTTTTTTTTTTAATTTGAGATCGTTAAGATGCTAAAAAAAAGAATAGTAATGGATTTTTCTTCAAACCATAATATTTATAATGATATGGCTCAACTCTTGTTCATTTAGCTATGATGCTTAGCCATACGCTCATACTCCCTCCGTCCCAAAATGAATGATACGAGGTTTGTGCTGGTCAAACTTTATTAAGTTCAGCTATGTTTGTATAAAATATTAGTAATATTTGTATATTCAAATGAGTTTATTATGATAATATATTCTAAGATTCATCTAATGATACTAATCACGCACCAGAAATATTAATATTTTCTTATATATATTTGGTCAAAAGTGCATAAAAATTATATTGCCAATTCCATTTTAATTATATTCTTTTTTCTTAATGTTAATAAAAAAGAAGAAAATTCTGGTTTTTTCTTTCCAAAACCCCGAGATATTATTACTACGAAGGATAACCAACGATCAAAATGTTTGGTTCAAAATTATATTGCTTCATCCGATCCTTTCTTTTACCTAAAAGAAAGAAAGAACTCAAAATAAAATAAAAAATAAGAAAAGTATGATTTTTTTAATCCATTCTAACCAACGAACAGTTCTTACCTTAACCTGAGTGGACTAAAGCGGCGGATTGCTAATCCGTTGTATAATTTTTTTGTACCGAGGGATTCGTTCTAAGAATATTATATCGAAGAATTCGACACATAAAAGTACATTTATTAATTAATCTGAATTATTCATTCGATGAAAATGGTTGACTTTTCAGAAAGTGAGAATAACACTTTTTATGGGACAAAGGGAGTATATACCAAACATGTATCCCTCCGCCCGAGTGTCATTTCCACTTCTCGAGAAGTCAAACATTTGCAACTTTGACAAAATATATAAGAAAATATTAATATTTATGCTGCATAATTAATATCATTAGATGAGTCGCTAAATATATTTTTATAATAAAGTTATTTAGAGATACAAATGTTGCTAATATTTTAGTCAAACATAAAAGATTTGATCAGCACAAACACCACAGCGACACTCTTTTGACCGAGGGAGTACTGGCTAGTTGGATGGATCATGGATCGCCCAGTACGTTGGACTAACTAAATAAAGAAGATTGAAAAAAAAAAACAAATTGCCATGTACCGCAAGAGAGTGGCGCTTTCCCCTCCATGTCTGATGGGATCAAGTCTACATAGTCCCGTAACCAGAATCAAGTCTAGCTAATTTAACACATTAACTTAGATCAAGAGGGAAATGGATCTATCTGCTTGAGGATGACATGACACCTAACCTTGATAGTGGGCCGAATAAAAAAAAACTCGTCTTTTAAGCTAATCCCACTGAATAATTCGATACATACCAATTTAACTAATTTAAACAGAGGAAAATTTTCTAGCTATTTGTAGCCCCAAGATAGCCAAGGCACTAAAGGGCCTTTCTATTCTCATTTGTATCTTTTGGGTTTAATATGGAATAGCTCTTGAACTTATTCTACCCAGGCAAGTAGATCCAAAAGATGGAGCCAATTTGGACTCATTCTTCTATCAGATAGGTTTTTTTAAAGAGTTGAACCAAATCCACCCTCTGAAATGTCAATATGTGAAAAGATATGAAACAACGACAGGTGTAAAACCGCTCCAAAACTACCCGATTGCATAGACTTGATCACATCTCTTAATTGTTTATAAAGTCTGAAGATATGTTGCTTTTCCAACTTTTCAATAGCCACTGGCTCCGTTCTATTTCTTGCACAACCACTCCTCCATCCCCAAGCCAAAAGTCATCCGTTACCTCCTGGTCAGAAGAAAGGCCACACAAACTGATTTCGAGCAGGAAGAAAAGGGGAACAAAGACGGCTGCTACTGATCAGTTTCTTTTTTGTTTATCTCCATTCTTCAATCATAGCAACCCTGTTGTGAAGAAGAAGAAGAAGAAGAAGAAGAAGAAGAAGAAGAAGAAGAAGAAGAAGAAGAAGAAGAAGAAGAAGAAGAAGAGGAAGAGGAAGAGGAAGAGGAAGAGGAAGAGGAAGAAGAAAGATAAGATTGCTTTTTGGTCTGGTAGGATGTTTCACTCCATTTCAAGATGTGTCAATTCTGTATGAAGTGGTCAAGAAGCAAGTTCAGAGCTGAGTTCTTTCTTCGAGGAAGCATCTGAATGGCTTATCCATCCACCTCCGGGATGGTCCAAGCTTCTTCATCCCTCCATGGCAGCATGTAAGTTAACCCATCCATTTAGCTTCCTCGATTTGGCCTTTTTTCAAGATTGATTTGCACCGTCCACCATATGAGTTACTTCTTTTTTCAATTCTATAAAGTTGATGATTTCCCTTGAGAATCTTGTTATCTGGTCATCATTATTAGCAGAAGAAGTTTGCTATGGTTGGCAGATGATCCGATCCCTATTTCCTTCGTTCTTCTTATGGTCTTTGTTTCATCATGCGATGATTTTTTTCAAAAGAAGTTAGCTAGTTCAAGTTGTGTTGTGAGTAAATGATTGATATCAAATCGATCTGACCATCAATTAATAAGCTTTACCTCCCCTATCACGCTTCTTTTTGCTTCTTTTTTAGTTCTTCCTGTTGGAGAGCCATCGATTCTTTGATGATATGCTATATTCCCAAACAAATAATTGATGTCCTTTGGGTGAACAACCTATAGTAAGAAAATGGATTAGTTCATCCTCTCTATGCTATTATTTTCGTACTACTTACTTTCTTAATTTATTCTCCTCTTCTCAATTAAAGCCCTTTTGAACTTGTGGAACTACTCAATATATAGAAATGAGAGCAGTTGTGATATTCTGTTGCATTTGTGAAAGTGCAGGAGAAGGGATCCCGAAGGATATGACATGTCATCCGATCTGGACCAAGCCCTACTCCTCTACTTTGATGGGCAGCAAGCTAAGACATCAATTCAAGAACAACAACCGCGTAAGCCGCTTAATTTCTGTAAAAATAAAGTTCATTATTTTGACAAATGCTTGGTCACTTACTCGCTTTTCACTATACGCACATATATGTTGAAGGAATATGTCATTGCCAAAATTCCATTAGTTCCAAATTAATGTATCACAAACTTGTCCATATGTAAGCGTTGTGATATGACTGGTTTAAATTGTAGCTTAGCCAGAAGTGCAAACCAAATAATGGTGTTCAGTGGTCTTCAATTCCTTTCCGCTTAGCTCTCTCGTCGATCGTTTGCAGATCTCAATGTGTTTTAATTTCCTCAGTTGATCCCAAACTTCATGTGTCATCACAGTTTCTCACAATATTTCTGGCTACCAAGTATCAACTAGGTAGCTAGCTGTTGGAGAGAAGTGAGTTAGTGACACGTAACGAACACCAACTGATATAGTTTCAAGATGTCATGCTAAAATTAGGCAACTGAACAATTATTGTTCCACGCTTTTCCCCCAATTTCTGACACTAAGTACCAGCATTTTACACCTCCTTTTTCCTTTGTTACCAGTTAACCACTTATTATCATTGCGTGTGAAATGAAAACAACCTATCTGAGGATAGTTTTCGCACACGCATGGAGAAAACCAGCCATATTAGGAAACACAATAGTATATGTGCACATGCTGACATGCGTGCGTGCCTTTGTGTGCTCTACAAAGTCATAATGTTTGAAGGGACTTGTTTCATGCGTGCAGAGACTCTCAACATCTTCCCCTCCCAGCCAATGCATCATATCGAGCCATCTCCAAAGGTATCGTTTCAAGCTCTAACGACCATAGCTACCTCAAAGCACAAGAGATATGATGATTGCTTCATGATGATGCCATACACTCATACATCGTACATATACGCCCTTCATTCCTTTCTTCCTATTCAGGGTTCCATGGCTTCTTCTTCAGCGGCGGTAGCACAGGTCGCTGGCCCTTCCAAGAACTCGCAGGCGCCGTCGTTGAAGGTGGGAGGCGGGCCGCTCGCTGCCGGCAAGAGCTCCAAGGCAGCAATCAAGGTAATATGCAATCTGATCAATCTCTACTCCCTGTGGAAGCAATTGTGTATATAGCAAATGTAATTCTTTGTTATCACAATTCACAACCAGAGAGAAGGTAGCGCCGGCGGCAAGCATGGCGCGTCGCCGCGGGAGCTTCGAGCTCGGATCAGGAGGGGCCCCCGACGCCGCATCCCAAGACGTTGCGGAGGCTCGCGCAGAATAGGGAGGCCGCCAGGAAGAGCAGGCTGAGGAAGAAGGTAATTATGTATTGTAGTGACGATGATGACGACCTCTACCGTTTCCCAAGCTAGTAAGCGGTAGTAATACTGATTAAAAATATGGTGGAAGGACAAGTCAACCCTCAAAACATGAGAGGAAAAAGTTTTGCAAGAAAGGGCAATTGACAAACGAAGAGATGGGGATTGGGGAGTAGACTGGACATATTATATAGGGTGGTAAAGTTAGCCTACTACCTAAGAAAATAGTTGTTTTGGACAACACATACATACATATTTATTTTTCTCAAAGTTCCGTTTCTTCATCTTCATGGAAGATATGAGCTGCACTAGATAAGTATAGAATAGAAGCTACTTAATTTCTTATGTCTAGTTGGTTGCGTGTGAAACAGGCTTATATTCAGCAGCTAGAGTCCGGCAGGATCAGGCTGGCACAGCTAGAGCAGGAGATGCAGATGGCAAGAACTCATCAGGTAAAGTGATGAAGAATATATATCTCGTGAATGTAGAAGTATTTTAGAACAATTTGGTTACAATGACAGAGATCCTATGTATAATGCTTTCAGAGGAAGTTTGTTCCAATTACTATTGCAACAAAATGGCTTACTTATCATAAACAGAACATGGCAAAAGATCAATCCATGTAATCTTTTGCTTAATTCTGAACTGTCAAGGACGTACTAATTATGCTTCTTCATTTCTTCATAGGGTGCACTATGGGGTGCAGGAGCGCTAAGCCCAGGTTTGCTTTGCCTTGCCACTGATGACATATTTAACTACTAGTTAGCTCATCAATCAACAAATGCGGCATCTCTGTCATGAGTCATGAAAGGCTAGCTTATTAGGCTGCACGTGCATTTGCATGCAGATGCGGCGATGTTCAACCTGGAGTACGAGCGGTGGCTGGGGGAGCACAGCAAGGTGGTGGCCCGGCTGCGGGCCGCCGCGGAGGAGCACCGGCCGGACGGTGAGCTGCGGGCGTACGTGGACGAGGCCGCCGCGCACTACGGCGCGCTGATGGGCCACAAGGCCCGGCTCGCTGGCGCCGACCCACTCCACCTCCTCTCCGGCCTCTGGAAGGGCGCCGCCGAGCGCTGCTTCCTCTGGATCGGCGGCTTCCGCCCCTCCGAGCTCATCAAGGTATGTACGCTAAAATTCATCATCTACCACCGGCTGAAAGACCAAGAAGCAAGAAAGGTACACACGCAACGCATACAATGCATAATAACGCAAGTACGGGCCTGAAATGACACCTTTTGATCATGACCGGCCACCGGCTGGATGTGTGTCACTGACATGTGGTTGCATCGCACGTCAGCATGACCACCGTACCTCGCAACCAACCAATGCCAAATCCCCAAAATGAAACTTCTAAGTACTTACGTATTATATATACAAAGTTGATGGCATGTATATTAGTCAATTATTGGTCCAGCATCAGGGATTAGGTGCAGTGGATTAGCTGGGCAAGTAAGGAGGTAGCAGGTAGGACGTCACAGTATTAGCTGATGGAACAGTTCGTAGTAAGCTAAGCTCCGTCCAGAGAAGTCGTTGTGTGCTATAGTAAGCCGGCCGCTAGACGCCGCCCGCCTGCGTACGTACATGAGTGTCACGTCAACGAGTTTCCATCTAATACAGCATGCATCAGTCGCAACTCGCACGGCCGGGAGTAGGTGGCGGAGGTGACCCACCAGCTTATTCATTGCCGCGCCGGTGTCAGTGTGTCACACGCTCGAGCTCGATCGGTCGATGGACACTTCGCATCACGCGGCGGCGGCGACGACGACGACGATCGATGTGCGTGCGAGCTAGGCTCAGACGACAACGTCCTCGTCCTCGTCCTCGTCGTCGTCGTCGTTCTACTCCCTCGCTGTCGCTGTCGACGTCGATAGATGATCTCTCGATCGCGTGCTTGGATTAATTTGGAACGCCAGGATTATTCCAGCTTTTGTTCGTGGGATTGGGATCGATCGATCATCTTCTTTTTTCCTGCTAGCTACGTACCTGCTCCTGGAACCCTTTCGATGACGTACGCTAACATGCACGCACGCAGGTCGTGGTCCGGCACGTGGAGCCGCTGGGGGAGCAGCAGGCGGCGGGGGCGCGCGACGTGGAGCAGGCGGCGCGGCGGGCGGAGGAGGTGCAGGACGCCGAGCTGGAGGCGCTGCTGCGGTCGCTCTCCGAGGTCGTGTCCTCGGACGCGCAGCCGCCGCCGCCGCCGGGGATGATGTACGGCGGCCAGCTCTACCAACACCCGGCCGACGTGGCCGCCGGCTACATGGGGATGGGCCACATGCATGTCGCCCTCGCCATGGACAAGGTGGCCTCGCTCGGGACCATCCTCAGACAGGTATGGTCACCATGCATATATTTTCTGTCTGTCTGTCTGTCTCTTCCTTCGATTCATTTTAATTTTCAGCCAAGCCATGCATTGCTTGCTCATCGCAAACCTAGCGCAATAATGCCGCAATGCATGCAGGCGGACGAGCTGAGGATGCAGGCGTTGCACGCGCTCCGGCAGATCCTGACGGCGAGGCAGGCGGCGCGCTGCTTCATCGCCGCCGACGACTACTTCTGCCGCCTCCGAACGCTCAGCACGCTCTGGACCACCAGTCGGACGGGCCAGTTGGCTAGAGGCCCGGCCGGGTAGACATCTGATCTACGGCATGGGATGGAATACATACGCGGCCGGCTAGCTACTAGCTTAGCTATATGACGTAGTAACTTAGAAAGCGTTAAACTATACATCACATGCAAATGTATCGATGATATATATAGATACAAGATAGTATCATATAGAAGTGCTCCAGTGGTTCTCTTTTCAAAGTTGCAACAACAAAGCAGATTAATTAGTGAGGTACGTTACATATATACCGTATACTACTATACTAGTATACATATATGTTTGAACTTTGAAGGGAGAACCTTCTGAATGAAAACGATATGATTGTGATATTCATACTTGTTGTAGACTTTGTTTACATCGGAAAGCTTCGGTGGTGATGGGATGGCATGTCATTATATGGCATATCGGACCAGAAAGATTATCACCAACATCAAATAAAATGGCTAATAAGATGGAAATTACTTAAGTGCCCTTTCTAAGAAGCATTAGGATAATGTTGGCTTTTTATCAAGAAAGGATCACCGGGGTACTTATTTGTCAACTTATTAGTCTTTCTTAGCTGATTATGTTTGGCAAAATTTGCTAAGGGCACTGAGAAAGTGATGTTGTGGGCAGTCTGATTTATGACAAATTTGCTGAAAAATACTGCATCCATTAAAATATTTGTTTAAGGCTTAGAAGAAGAGAGAAAATTTCAAAATGACATTCGATGCCCCTTTAACGACTTCCTTCGTTCGCAAGCCCAACATGTCGCCAGTGCTCGCATACTATCATTGGTCGCCCGGTGCTTGTGCATCGCCTCTGCCCACCTTTGCCCACTAGCAGAGACCTTAACAGTCGGGTCGAGCTTCTCTCCACCTTTGCCCTACTTGCTCCTATCCGCCTCCCCAAATCAAATCAAATCAAATCAAATCTTCCATTTGCAGCATGGGTCACGACGGCGCCACTGAGGCTAACACGCCTTCATCTAATGGGCCCTCGGTGCACATCTGAGGGTGCACAACAGCAGGGCATGTGCCCTTGAGGGCAAAGTTTACTTTCCCCATCATGCACATGCTTCATCCAACAGCAGGGCATGTGCCCTTGAGGGCAAAGTTTACTTTCCCCATCATGCACATGCTTCATGTTGCGCTACTCGACGCCAACACACTGCGGGGAAACTTCTTCGAGGGATGCGTGCTCCATCACACCTCCACCGCCTCGCCGTTGACTTCCGTGGTCGTCAGGTCCACGCCCCTACCCTTGGCCCTGCCATTCACTAGTGTGGCATGACGATACTGATCTATTGTTGCTACTACAGGAGGGTAGCCTAGGGTTGGAGGCTACCATGCAATACATCAATGGGGAGCTCAAGGTTCTCGATGCACATGCAGGTCCAGTGTACGGGTGAATCTCCAGGCATGTGCCCTAGGCCATGCCCTCACCCCATCCCTGTGCCTGCTCCCCTCGCCGACTAGTTAGGTGTATCATAGAGAAGACAATGAGAGAAAAGACCATGGAGAAGAAGGGGAGGGAGGACGAAGAAAGGGAGGGAGGACGAAGAAAGGGCCAGGAAAATGTGGTTTCTTCTAGCAAATCTGTCATGAACCATAGTGTCTAGCATCCAATTAGATTTTCCGGTGGCTAACGGTAATACGACATCACTTTCACTGCATGTAGCAAATTTTCCCGTTATGTTTTTATTGATTACAATGAAAGGCGACAAACAATGCATCACACACCCTCTTTTCTCTCTTTAAATGAAAATTTTAATACCTGGAAACTGGTTTTATTTCTCATGGCCCATGGGGTTGTGGTGTGGTGGGCTCAATACCATCTTATTAGTTTAAAATATACTAACTACATCCTAAAAACTTAAAATCTTAGCAGCCAAAATGAAAGCCCTAGTTCCACCGCCATTCAACACCTGGGTCGGCATGGCAGAATTGCCAATAGGCGTCGTTGTAGAGTGTGTGTTGTTTCCAAAACTGAATGCTACCACCTGCTCTCTGAAACCTACCATTGGTACGGTGTTCCCCATGATTCCTGCAATTTTCTTCTGATACTCATTTCTAAAAGTTGGAATCTGTCCAGAGGAGCCTACAAATCTTAGACAACTGGTTGATCTTGAAAATGTTACCCTGCAAAGGATCTTCAGACGTTCCTACATTATTACCAATATCAGAAAACTTGACGGCGCAACAACTTTCTAGGAGTTGCTAGGTCCTGCAATTTTGTGAACTTCTCTGGCAACCTTGTTAAATTGGCCAGCAGAACATGATTGAAGCTGAACAGAAGGCTGGTTCACCAAGTCAGGAGACTGTAAAGGTAAATGACCAGAAGGAGACAACATCTCACCATCTGATATGTCTTCGAAAGGAATACCTCTGCTTGACCCCAAAATCTTGGCACACAATATGCTCGCATAGGAGCTGCTGGAACGAGACGAAGAAAAGGACATGTTCGAGGTCAATGGTAGACTGTCATTTGAGATATTTGCAAATGAACTCCTAGAAATATCAACGGCAAGAAAATTGGATATTTGGGACTCAAAAGATTGACTCCTTAATTATGTTGCCACTCGGGTAGATGATAAATGGGTCCATCTGTGTCTATGAATGTCGGCCCAATGGCAAATCTGCAAAAGGCCAATGTTTCGAGTCCTAAGTATCCAAATCTCTCGCACCTAGCAGCCCACTACATGATACATGTGCGTTGGACTTTCTAGAGGAGATGAATCTGCTGATATCTTGCACTGGCATAAGCACAACATCTTTGGGCAGGTTGACACTATGGCCAACTGGTTCCATGTTTGACTGAGGAATGCGTAGGTTTTTCTGCGAGCTCATGACCTGAACTGACTTTGTGGGCAGCGAAGCTTGCGTTCCAATTGTAGATGAGGAATTCATCTTTGTAAAATGGTTGCTTGAGCTTGGAGAGCCAATGATGGATGGGACATTCATGATTCTCCCCAGTGCTTCAGTTTCATCAGCAAATGGATTAGAATTCCTCAGTGTGCCCTCGTGAGCTTTCTGAGGTAGATCCGGTACTTCTGAAATCACAAAATAGACAAGTACATTTTGTTAAGAAAAAAATGACAAAGCCATAAAATGAGTGAAGAGGGCTCTTAATCATAGGGTGAAACAAAAGAAATTCATGAGAGAAAAAACTAACTCCAGAAGTGCAAATATGTATAACATAAAAAACTCAATACATGTGTGTACGCCACTAGAGCTTTGTGTGTGTGGCAGACACACGTTCTGGTTTAATTGTTAAAAGTGCCACACACACAAATTCCATTGACATAAACATAATATTGAGTTTGAGATGGAAATTGTGTAGAAACAAGTTCTATCCAAATATCTTTAGCAATAATATAGTGGATGAGAACACAAGCATAGTGATTGAGCATAAGAGTAGAAACCAAACCTGCAGATGGCTGGCGACATGCTCTCTAGTAAAGCCTTCCACATTCATGACTTCTAATATCTTCTTCGGAACTGCCCCTGTATTTACAACAACAAAATATTTGTTAAGAGAAACATATTTAATAGAAGAATTATTGATGGATAAAGCCATGAAATGTGAGAACTTACTGTCATGCCAATCTGATGGACAGCTTGAACAAACTTCCAGTGTAGTTAACCATACCATTGGACCCTTTGCTTCTTCCAGGTTGACGGGTTCTCGTTGTCCTCGTCAGCAACATCCACAACCTTTTTATTTTTCCTTGAATACTTGGTGTGGTTTGCTCCAACCTTCTCAACTTTATCACCATCCTCAGATGGCAACTTCCGAACATTCCGTGGATCAGTCTTACTATTCTTCACCACATGTGTCCATATGCCCCTAAGCTGTTTGAGGCGCACTGGCTTTACCATATAATCACAGGCTCCATGCTTTATCCCTTTCATTAGAGTTCGTGTCTCACTTTTTGCGGATAGCACTGCATGACATAAGGCAACATAAGTCAATTATGATATATAGAAGTCAACAAGCTCAATACACTAGACATTGAATGATCTAGTGGCCTTCATGTTTGGTTCACTAGGCACATTTTTCAAATTCTGTTTTCTTTAGGCATTACATGTGTCATTTACATTCATTTTAAAAAATGTGTCATACACATAGTAAATGCAATTCTCTATCATTTCCACTTTTGTCATTCATAATTTCACAAAAGAAACTTTACAGATCTACTAGAATGGGGCATTGTTCACATCCTTATGGAAACGACTAGTTATTATGAAAACCAACAATAACGAACTAAACTGCAGGCCACAAATTCATAAGTCATCTTGGTTGCGCCTAGAGCTTACTAATCCATGGCAATGTATGAACCATACATGACAGGATTGAATTACTAGATTGATTGCTCCTGTTACTTAATTATGAACAAATGGTAACACATGAAGCTACAAACAACAATATTTAGTAGCTATTGATTGCATCTACTGCATATGAACAAACAGTAGCATATGAAATGAACTACAAACAACAATTCAGTAGCTAGACTGATTCAACGATTTGGATTTGGATTTGTTAAAAATTTTCTTTCGCGGTTGAAACTAATGAAATGCACAAGATTTTAGAAGTTCCGATCCAAATTTCAGTAAAAAATGTTAGATGAAATCTGAAAATTTGAATTTCTAATTGGTTCACTAATATGCTTCCTACATTGTATTTACAACTTAGCCATAGGCCACAGCCTAGTGGACAAGCAGCTTCATGTCATGGGTAGTAAATTTTGGGCCTATTGGGCTGGGTTTAGAAGTGTCGCCCATTAGTGTTAGGGTTAATTAGACATAAGGGTCTTTTGAGGAGAGGTATCCATTAATGAATCGAGCAGAAGAAATAGATCTATTATCCCAATCCCTTCTCCTATCCATAATGGCCCTAACCCAAGTAGACCGACATCAGCCTGCAGCCGGACCACAAGGGCAGGGATAGGAGAAGGGACTGTGATAACAGATCTATTTCTTATGTTCGATTCAGTGGATACATCTCCTCAAGAGACCCTTATATCTAATTAACCGTAACACTAA